ACCTCCCCTGGCCTCAGTCAGTTCCCATGCACATTTTATAAGAACTTTGTCACCGACAGGTTTATCTTGAGGCTGAGATGGTGAGAGGCCTGGAAAGCATCTCATGCCGATGTCTGGAAGAGCTGGATATATTTAGCTTGGAGCTAAAGAGGCACCAAGGTCAGGAGCAGTGTGTGTGGAAGAGTTAGGCGGACAGACCTGGCCGCAGTAATGCTAATCACAGCACTTGTTCTGGGCACTTTTCCTATATTAATTCATTTCCTCTTCACAACATCTCTGTGAGGTGGCTTGTTGTGATCCCAGTATTACAGATGTGTTCCCCGAGGTGCAAGTGGGAAGTAGTTTGGCTGAGGTCCCATCACTAACATGAAGCAGAGCCAGGATTGGACTCCTGGCAGCCTGGCTCCTGGGGTTAAGCCCTAACCATGCTCTGCCCCTCTGTGTCCAGAACTTAACAGCCACATCAGGCCAACAGTGGAACCAGCTGTGTGGCTGGGATCAACGTGTTCTTCCCTGGAGACCACCCCTCCCTTGCCAGCTGTGTGTTGAGCTACCAAAAGGTAGAGAAGAACTGAGCCTGGCCTCCCAGGGAGTGCATTTTGGGTGGAACTCTTGTTTCGTAGGTACAGAGCCTGAGGTTGGTCAGTGTACCGCTAGGTTATGGTTCTTAGGAGAATCTATGCACACTAACCAAACTCACAAAGAACAGATAGATAAATCAGGATATGCCAGTTGCTTACTGTACCTTGAAAAATAGAGCTGACAATCAAGTTAGAAATACATGGTGGCTGATTAAGTCTTTGGCCACTTGAAGTGGAATCTGCGTGGGAAGCCAAATATTCATGGACAGTCGCCTGCTGAGCATGGAGGTGTGTTGGATGAGCTCCACACCTGGCATTGTGGAGCTCAGGTGGCTGAAGCATCCGTGGCAATTAGGGAGAGGCTGCTGTCACCTGGGTAAGGGCAGGGACACCCAGACCAGTTCTTGCTCTCCCAGTGCCCTTCTCTGGCCTCGGTTTGTGAAACACCAACATTCTGCTATTCTCCCTCTTGGGCAGCACGTGGTGCTGTTGCCCCAGTTCCAGCTCTTCCGGCTCCCTCCGGCCATCCTGAGAAGGCAGCCTGCGAGGCCTGGGCACTCGGGCTCTGCCATGTTGTGCCTTCCTGTGCCATTGCTCTGCTTGGTCCTTCAGGGCCTGATCATCCCCACGGGGTCTGTCTGACTAGCTTCCAGGTTCTGAGGGTACCTTGTTTTGCCCCAATGTATTGGCCGTAGTGGGAGTTGCAGCCAAGCCACACAGTGAAAGGCGGTGAAGGAATTGTAACTTGCTCACCTTTCCCGCCCCTCCCCACTTTTCCTCAGCTCTAGCAGTGAGAGGCGGCCTGTAAATAGGGGGTTCCAACATTTTTGGCTTTGCAACCACCCCTTCTTAGTATTGAAACTTCCCTGAATCCCATAGCGTTGTGTACTTAGTGCATTAGTTTGTGGGTTTTTCATGTATTCTAAAATAAATTCCATGTTACTTTTAAAGGACGTGCATGTTCATCACAGCAGCATCTGTACACATTTAAACATAGTAATCAAAGCATGAGAGTAAGATGTGCATGTTCAGTCCACAGGCAGAAGTTGTGCCCATTTGGCCCCTAAGCCTGTTGTGACAAGTCTGAAGTTCGTGGGGCTCTGTAGCCCATAGATGGGGACTCACTGGCTCTGACGACCCCAGGGTCTCTTCCTGCTCCACCAGTCCCTGTGGTACCCAAGCCTTGGCTCAGGGTTAGGACTCAAGAAGGAAGAGGGTGTGATGGGAGGAGCAGAGAGGATCTGAGGACAGAGCAAGGCAGGTGGGACCATGAATGCTAGGGACTAATGAGTGACCAGCTGGGCACAATGGCAAAGCTAGAACAGGGCTGGGCCATGAGGCCTCCCTGCCAGAGATGCCAGGTGGGGCACACTCTTGAGCCCTCAAAATGCTTGTGTCTTGTCAGAGTGTGATGGGACCCTGTGCTGGGGTCCCCAGGAGCATCCCGGGTTCAGAGATTCACTAGGAAGACTCCTGGCTAAGATTGGCTACTGTGAGAGGGTACAAAGCAAGGCCAGCGAAGGGAGAAGGTACATGGGCGGAGTCCAGGGAAAAGCAGGGGCAAGCTCCCCAGGGTCCCCTCCTAGTGCTGTCCCACAGGATGCACTTAATCCCTCCAGCATGGGGTGGTAACAACACATGTGAGATGTTGTCTTCCAGCGGAGCTTCACTAGAGACTTGGCACCAGGGTTTCTACTGGGGGCTGGTCACATAGGCACCCTCATGTGCCTAGCGTGTACCAACCTTGCAGACTCCCAGAAGGAAAGCAGGGGTTTGGCACACACCACACTGTAGTCAAAAATTCTAGGCACTGTGAGCCACTCTCATCATTTAGCGAATGGTGGGAAGCTTGTCAACATCCAAATTCCCAGACACCGGCCCGGGGTCCTTCTGGCAGGCAAGCCTTCCTGAGGACAGCAGTCTAAGGCCTGCTCTGTGAGCCCTTCTGTGTAGACCGTGGTGTTGGCCACATTTTCTCTGACTAAAAGGCCAGGAAGAAATGTCATGGCTCTTTGAGAGAAGTTTCAGAGGGTGTCTAAGGCCATCCCTGAGGAGAAGTGGCCATATCTGGACCAGAGCCGCAAAGATTAGCTCAGAGAGTCAGCAGTGAGCCAGCGGGGCGAATGCCGCCGTGTGTGGCCGCCTGTGGGCCCTGGGCGGTCACGGGAGGGATGGCCCTCGCCAGGTGTGCAGATGCAGCCTGGCCAGTGCAGACAGAGAGCAGAGCATGGATGGGGCAGGCTGTCGGATGTCTGAGGGGACAGGCAGCGAGCGAGGTGGTGAGTGAATGGCAAGACCACCAGTTAGTGCCAGCGATGGTTTTTAAAATCACTGACTTGAGCAGATGAAACAAGGCAGTAGATTTCCTCTTTCCTTTGTCAGGAGTGTCTTCATTTTCTTTAATAATTCTTACCTACAAACAAATGGCTCAGCATTTGTTTCTAAACCAGAAGGACCCTTCCTGTAATTTACATTGTTTGCTTAATTTGTACAAAGTTTATTTTTTGCCATAATTTTAAATACAAGCCTGTCAGATGATGGTCATTTTCTAGGGTTTGATGGCCATTTTGAAGTCCACTGAATGACCATTTTTAAAGAAGCTAAGACAAAAATGTCACTTTTATCTTAAAAAGCCACAGGGTAGCAGGAGACAAACACACAAGACAGAAGCTGTGAGTGTAGGATGTAGAGGAAGAACCCAGTTGCCCAAAGCAAGGGCGACCCCAGGTTCCTTCTGTGAGAAATGGACGACTCAAAACAGACTCTCAGCCCGGGGGCTGGGGTCAGGGGCATGGCCAGGTGGGGAGGGCTGGACCGTGGCCCAGGGGGCTTCTGCTGCGTCCCCTCCCGTAGAGCTTAGCACCCACGTGCCGCAAGGTCCCTGTAGGGATGTGCTGCCTGGGCCTGGTGATAAATGCCACCACTCATAACAGCGGAGAGGACCAAAGCTGACGTGGGCGGAGTGGCTTTTTTTTTTTTTTTAATATTGCTTTTGTAAAGCCTAACGGAGTAGCTTTTTGAAGGACAGCAAGACCTGGAAAGTGAGGGCAGGCTCAGCTCAGCACAGGCCTGGAGCCCAGCCCACCGGCCAGAGGGGCTCTGGAGGAGCGGAGGCCATAGGACAGGAGTTTGACGATCAAGGGCCACAGACACGGGCCCAGGGGTCACAGGCCTGCGAGTCTGCTTGTTCACCTTCCGTCCTGGGGAGGGAAGGCCTGTCTTCTCCTGACTTACAGGGCTCTTTGAGTTTTTATTGCCTTGTGTCTCTCTGTCTCTCTCTCTCTGTGTATGTCTCTCTCTCTCTCTGTGTGTATGTCTCTCTCTCTCTCTCTCTCTCTGTGTCTCTTTCTCTATGTGTGTGTGTCTCTCTCTATCTCTCTGCGTGTGTGTGCATGTTTCTCTCTCTCTCTCTCTCTCTCTCTCTGTCTCTCTCTGGGCGGTGCTTGGAGGAACAACATAAAAATGTTGCTTGCTTGATTACTGACTGTTGTATCATCCCCAGTAAAGAGAATGGAGTGTTTTTTTATGTGTTATAATTGGCTTTATTTGTAAACTTTTTTTTTAATGGTACATTGCTAGGGTCCAAGGCCTTGCACATTCAAAGGGAGGATGGCTTATTAACTCCAGTGAATCCCTAACGTGGCAAGCGTAGGGCTGCCGTGATTCCCGTTAGGGGCTGACTTTTGCTTGGGCCCCGTGGCCGCAGGGCATGAGACTGTTGTATTAGTTTCCTGTGTCTGCCGTACACAGTGCACAAACCAGGTGCCTTAAACCGATAGAAACTTATTCTCTCACAGTTCTGGAGGCCAAAAGCCTGAAATCAAGGTGTGGACAGGGCCTCACTCCCTCTGAAGGTTCCAGGGTAGGATCCTTCCTGCCTCTTCGAGCCTCTGGTGGCCCCAGGCATTCCTTGGCTTGTGGCTGTATCACTCCATCTCCGCTTCTGTCTTCACACAGCTGTCTTCTCCCTGGGTGTCTGTCTCTGTGTCTCTTCTTTTCTTATAAAGACACTAGTCAACTGGATTAAGGGACCACCCTACATGTGCTTACGACATCATCTTAACTAATTACACTTGCAGTGACCCTGTTTCCAAATAGGGTCACAGGCACAGACGTAGGGGTTAGGACAGCGGCGTGTCTCCTCGGGGCACAGCTCAGCCTCCAGCAGTTTCTGGAGCGGAGTCCTGCCGTTCTGCGAGTCCCCCACCCCTGCCCTTGCTGCTCTCCCACTCCCCAGCTTACACCTGGAGACAAGGGCAGGGTCACCGAGCAGTGGGACTGCTGGGCTAGGCCTCGCTGGGATGGAACCAACCAACCTCTGAGACTGTGCCCACAGGTGCCCATCACTTTCAAGGACTTGGCTGTGCGGTTCTCAGAGGAGGAGTGGCGGCTCCTGGAGGAGGGGCAGAGGGAGTTCTACCGAGATGTGATGCGCGAGAACTACGAGACGCTGGTCTCCGTGGGTAAGGAGGACGGGAGGCAGGAGCCGGGTGGAGGGTGGAAGGGAGGCTGGCGTCCAGGACCCCTCAGGCCTTGGTCTTTCCAGCTATGAAATGAACATGGTTCCAGCTTGGGGCGGGACTGGGGCCTCACTTGATCTTTCATGTTGCTGCCAGCGTCTCTGTGTACCATAATAGCGTTGCAGGTACAGTTCAGTGGGTGCAAGGTGGACTCTGAGGGTCTGAGCACCTCGAGGCTGAGGTTAGGTGATCATACGAACTACACATAAACACGTGCACAGATATGCAGGTGCCTGGGTATCTGCGCATGGCCGTGTGGGAGGTGGAGGCCGCTGCATTCCCAGGGTGACTGTCTTCTCCTTTCTTTCCCAGGGACAGCTGAGCTGCTTCCCCTCTCTGCTTTCCTGTCACCCACGGAGCCTGGAGGAGCCACGGGCCGAGGGGGCTGCACTGCTGAGAGGCCGGAGCCTGCTGGTGGGGGAGTCCCCCAGGGTAAGTCATGGCTGCAGGTTTTGGACATCCCCTCCTACTCAGGAGCAGCCCCTAGTCCCCCCTTCTCAACTGATTCAGCCAGCTGTCCCCACCTCGTCACGTCCCCCGCCAACCCTCCCTGACTTTGCACCCCACGCCTCTGGGCTGGGAGCCTGTTACACAAAGAAGTGCTCAGAGGAAACCTGGGGTCACCCTAGGGAGCACCTCCTGCCTCAGGCCCCTGTCCTGCCATCACCCTGGAGACTTATCCCAGCCACCCCTTCAGAGCCAGGCTGCACCTCCCAGAAGCTGTGCCATGATGGTGACATAGCACACAGGGTGCAGACTGGGTGAGGCCAGGTGTTTAGAGGGTGCCGGGAAAGGCAGAGGGCCTGGACGGTGGGAGGTGAGCTTGCAGGTGGCCCTCCTTGGCATTGCCTTGGAAGGAAAGGAGACAGGAGTGAGAGAGGTAACGAGTAACAGAGTGAGAAGAAGAGCCCTGTTAGCTAAGCCCTGCGCCCCTGCCCTGGCTGCGCCCAAGTCCTCTGTGTTTCACAGGACATGGGTCTTTCCTCTGGCTGTTCCCCCTGTGGTTGGGGGGATTATGTGAGATGCTGGGTGTGAAACACATGAAAGCGTGAACACTGAGCAGATGCAGGGGTGACAGTCACTGTGGCTTCTCTGTAGGAGGACAGCCCCGGCACAGCCTGCACCTCACTGCCCTGGTGCAACTGGTGAAGGAGATCCCAGAGTTCCTGTTCGGGGAAGTCAGGGGTGCCATGAACAGCCCCGAGAGTGGGGGAGCCAGCCTCGATGGGGAGAGAGCGAGCCCCGAGGGTAGGTCAAATAGCAGGGCCGCCTGTGCAGCGCACACAGCCTTCTCTGCACTCCCCAAGACGAAGTGCAAGTCCACGGCACCGTGGCGGTATGTCTGCCTGGCTCCTGCCAGATCCCAGGCAGGGGAGGCAGAGTCACCCCCAGCTCCCGATGCCCAGCCACATGCCTGCCCTCTGAGTGCATGGGGCAGAGTCCATGAGAGAGTAGCTCTGACTCTTGTGGTGGTTTCTGCGTGGCCCAGCCACCCTCTGTGGCTGAGAGCCCCACCCTCTCACCTAGTGCTCTGCATGGGAGGTGAGGACAGTGTGTTTGTCCGTTTTACAGTTGAGGAAGAGAGGAAGCTATGCCTTGTTGGAGAGGCCAGTGGGGACCAGTTCCCTTCCCAGGCCTGTGTCCTTCCCACCTCACCAAACTCTTTCCTTTCCCCAGTCCCTGCTCACCTGCTCTCAGCTCAGATCCTGCTTCTCCCCAGAATCTGTCCCCCATAGCCTCACTCAGTTGATGGCAAATGACATAGGAAGTGGAGGGCAAGAGGTAGAGGATGGTGCAGGGTTGCTGGGGATGTGGCTTTAGAGCTGCTGCTTCCAATTTTGTCAGGGCAGCTGTGGCCAGAAACCTAAGTTTCAGAGCTCTGTGATGGCCACACAGGTTACTGATATCCTGGTCGTTGTTAGCAGAACATGGTGAGAAGGACCCGTGACAATGTCAGGGCATCTTCCTCTCACCAGTTGTTGGTGTCTTCTCCCTCCCTCCGGCCCAGCAGCACCCACAGCAGTGGAGCTGTGTCCTCTCCGAGGCCTGCTCAGCTGCCTTCCGGACGTCCCCGTCAGCCGACCCAGCCTGGCCTCCACGCCCACCAACAGCTCATGTTCCAGCAGCCCACCCGAAGATGGGGGACAAGGAAGCCCCCTTCCCATCAGTGAGTCGGGGGGGCTTGGACCCTGTGCTATTTTTCTAGGACTCAGTTTCTTCTGTTACTAAATGGGGGCAAAGTTCCCTGGGGAGAACATGCTCAGCCTCCGGTCTGTAGAGCAAAGAAGAGGTGTGTTGCTTGGTCCCCGGGCGGCCTCTCACCCAGCCCTGATCACTGAGTTCTGTGTGACACGCACAGAAAGCCTCAGGTGGTTTCTAACACGCAGGCCTGTTGGCGGATAACGTACCTGTGTGCACCCAGTCTGGTTCTTAGACCTTAGCAAAGCAACCCTAATGGCAGAGGAGGGCAAGAGTGGCCACTAGAATTTCTCTGGGGTCTCATTTTATTTTTAAAAAATTCTTGTGAATTTTGCATTTGTCTGAATATCTTTATTAAAAATGTTTTTTAAAAATATTTTTATTAAAAATATTTTGAATTAATATGGAATAATTGGCACTCCTAAAAAATATGCCCTGTTTAGCTGTGGTTATAGGTGTCAGTTGGCACATTTGCTCCGGGGGCCCACGTGGCCTGGTTTGAGAAGCACGAGCGTAAGATCGTGGCTTACACGTTGGGGCTGCCAGCATCGCTTGCTGAGCCAGATTCAGAGGCTGGGCTTAGGGGGAAGGGTCCAGGTTATTCAGAGTGAATAAACAGTCTAGGTATTTACAGTTAAATGGGAAAGAAACAGGAAAAGTCCCCCAGCCCTCCTGGACCAAGTCCTCTGGAAGCTGGCCCCACCACAACTCCAAGTTCCCAGGACTTGGCTGCCTTCTGGGGACTTGGGGAGCTGGAGAGGCCCGTGCTCTACCCAGACCAGATCTGGGCTGATCTCCCAGCATCTGGACGAGGAAGAAAGGCCTGCCTTGTCTCCTACTGCAACAGCAGCGGCCGACAAACCGTGGCCTACAGGGAAGGCAGGCCCAGGAGCCCCAGGCAGGGAGCCCAGCCCACCTGCCTGCAGCCCTGGCAGGAGGAAGAGCCGCAGAAGACAGGAGAGAGGGACGTCGGGGGCAGGTGAGAGGCTGGCTTTCCTGACGGGGCCTGCCCCGACTGAGAGGGGTGGCGATGGGGAGGCATGTTTAGCTCACGCAGGAGGTCATGTCGCTCCCCATCTGGGCCTCGTGGCAACCCTACAAGGCAGGCCTTGTCTCTGTTCTCACGGACGGGAATCCCAGCACCCAGCGGCCTGAGTGACTGCTGACGGCCTCCCAGCCGCCCCGTCAGGATGACCTCAGCCGCCCTCGTGTGTGCTGCAGGACTCTCTCCTGGGAACAGCCCCCTGCAAGGCCTTGTCAACTGTCTGAAAGAAATCCTTGTGCCTGGGTCCCAGCACTCCGAGGCACCCCGCAACGTGCTGCCCCCTCTCCCCGGCCTGGACGCGTCAAGGCTGACCAGTGTGGAGCTGGGGCCTGGGAGCCCGCCCCGGGAAGGTGAGTCCGGGGATCTGGTCTCTGGAGGCCCAGGGAAGCTTGAGTTGCCTTTCTCCAGCTGTTCTCTTGCTCCAAAATGTCTCCCGTAGAGGTCATTGCCAGTGTGGCTACTCCTATACTGCCGTGTCATATTTCTGAAGCCAGGTGGCTCTGTGAGGGCAGCACTCGGTTAGCTAGAGGAAGAAACCTCAGAAACAGTCTTTGCCCTGGTTTCCTTTGTGTTCTTTACTCTTCCTGACATGGGGCTGTGAGGGAGGAGCTACAGAGCTCAGGTGTCCCTTCATCCGGACCCTGGGCAAGATGCTCAGTGGGCTTGGGACCTGGGCAGCACAGCATGGGGCCGAGCACCAGCCTCGGGGTCGGACTCTGAAAGGTCTGACACCTTCGAGCCTTGGTTTCCTCATCTGTGAGGGGGTGACTGTTCCCAGCTCACTGGGTCGTAATGAGCTTAACTGTGACACTGTGCATGTCCTCTGAGTGTGTGTGTCAGTATAAAGCTTGACCTCAAACGTAAGTTCCGCTCAGGACCCAGAGAACTGTCTCCGAGCAGCGACTCCATGAGCCCCCTTCCCAGTTTATGCTGAGTGATCCCACATGTTTGCCTTCAGGGTGACTGTCCTGCCTTCCCTTCTTTTCTCTGTGCAGTGCTGGCGGGTGTGTAGACAGGCATTTTTAACCCGGGCACCAGGAAGACGGTGGCTCATATTGGACTAAATGAGTCATGAGAAGACCCACACCCCCAGGTTCCAGCTGTGCCCTGTTCCTGTGTGTGCCTGGCATACACAGATTGTCCCCTATTCATTGTGTGTCATGAATGGCTGACCCTGTTTTCACTGGGCTCAAGGTGAAAATGTGTCCCTTTTTCCCTTAGTGAAGACAGAGGCAGCTTCAGGGGATTGTCCCCTCCAGGGCCTACTGAACTGTCTGAAGGAGATCCCAGAGGCCCGGAACAGGCATCCCAGCACCTCAGGAGCAGGGGACCCTTGGCCACAGGAGGATCCAGGGGCCTGGAAGAGGAATTCTGGAGGTAAAGGCCACTCACTAGGCTGGGAGGGCCCCCAAACATTCTCTGTTTCGTTTTCCTGCTCCAGGCAGAGCTGTAGGTGACCCTCCACCATAAACACTCAGGCCCCTGTGTTGGCCTGTCAGGCAGGTAACCGTATCCTCAGCCAGTGACTGCCATGGAGGCAGAGGGGCCTTGGAAGCACCCCCAACCCTATAAAGGCCTCACAGGACTCTCAGGGAGGGTCCAGGCCTGAATCCTGGGCTTCCTGGTGGCCTCCTTCCTGCAGGGTCTGGACACCTCCCAACCCCTGCTCCCTGCCCTGGTCCTGGTGCTGGTGGCATGCTCTCTGTGAAGGTGGAGGAATGTTGGGCCCAGAGCCCTCCGTTGCCAGCATCCTGTCAGCCCAGCAGGCAGACCATCAGCCCCTCTGCCACTGGAGACACCAGAGGGGTCCCAGGGCCCAGCTGGGGCCCTCAGGCTCAAGGTGAGGCCTGGGGAGTCTTCCCTAGTCTCCTCGATGGGGTTCTCAGTCCCTGACAAGGTTCTGCCAGCCCCAGGGAAGTGGTGCCTGCCATTATCCTGAGCAGTGTCCCTTAGCCCACGCCCCCAGCCCAGGCCCCTGCCGCACCTCAGGACCTTCATTTTGCAGTGATTCCCGGCGGGGGAAGCTGGCCACTGCTTATGTGCGGGTCTCCCCACACCTCCTTTCTTTATTCCTTCTGGGGTAGCCAAGAGCAGATCAGAAGTCCGCCACAGAAGGGTTCTGCCTGGCAGTCCCCAGAGCCTGGTACAGGACCTGTCACCCCTGTGGAAACAGGCCAGGGGCAGCCAGCCAGTGGGCGCCTGACGAGCAGGGCTGGAATGTGCAGCAGATGGTGACAGGTGATCTCTCCTGTCCTAGCCGCCAATGCGTCAAGCTCGCCGCTGGAAGCCCTGGAGGCCTGTCTGAAGGGCATCCCCCCAAGTGGGTCATTACCCGCCCAGCCACTGGCCACCTCTTGGTCCCAGATCCCCCAGCCAGGAGACTCCGGGTCCCAGAGGCCTGAGCCACGGCCCCACAGATCCCACAGTGAAGGTAGTCTGTGGCCAAGGGCGTGGGGTGGCATGTGTCCCTATGCATGGCACGTGAGGGAGACGCTGAGGGCATGCCTGGGTCATCTTCTTCCCAAGGCCTCCTGAGGCACAGGCCCTTCCCCTAGCCCCTCTTGTGCCCCCCAATAACAGTTCCCAAATGTAGTGAAAACCAGTTAGAACCTTCCTGCCGTACTTCCTTCTCCTAGAACGCTTGTCCTCTCCAGTCGCACAGGGCTGTGGGCCAGCGTGGGTTAATGTGCTGCAGGCTCCTGGCGGGCAATCTTTGGGGCAGGGTCTTCTGCCTGCCCACAGCAGGGCCCAGGACCTCCCCAGCGGGCCCTCCTGTGACCCCAGCTGTGCTGTTCCCTGCAGGGGCAAGGAGGGAGCCGCCTCTGCCTCTAGGCCTGCAGGGCTGTGTGAGAGAGGGCCCCGCCCTGCCCCCAGGCCCCCGGCACACGCCCTCCAGCTTTTCCTCATCCAGCAGCACCGATGGGGACCTGGATTTTGGGAGCCCTGGGGGAAGCCAGGGGCAGCGGCCCGGAAAAGGTGAGCAAGGCCAGCCTGAGTCTAAGTGTCCATCCTGGGCAAGGGTGCGAGGGCCCCTCGCCCACTGTTGTCTCTCGCCCCCTGAGTCAGGCCACTGTACCAGTGCTAGGAGCAGAGCTAGGGACACTGAGGCAGGAGTGGATGCAGGACAGGTCTTGGGCAGGGGAAGGAAGGGGGTTCATTTTTGTGACTTGGCTCAGAAGCATCAGGACGGTGTCTGAGATCTCTGGAAAAATCTCCTGCATTAAATTCTTACCATGCCAGCCTGTTATCAAACTGTTATCCAACTTAGGGGAGATATGCTGAGGTTCACATACAAGCAGCTGGAGGAGTGTGCTTAGTGACCTGTTCTCCCCTGGCTTCCTCCAGGGGAATTGTACTTGGGGGTCTTGCAGGACTCGCCAACATCCCCCCTTGGCCATTTTTCCCCTCTCCCGAATAATCCGAGTCCTCTTGGTCTGTCTCGTCCCTCTGCACATGCCTCTGTGTCCCGGCCACACGCGTTGTTAGTGTCCAGCCTCGCGCTGCAGCCGGGGCTCGGCCAGGCCCGCGGAGCCCGTGTCGCCGGCCAGGCCCGCGGAGCCCGTGTCGCCGGCCAGCCTGGGTCCCTGGGCCTGCTGGGCCTTACCCCCTTGGGTGTGGGGCTTTTCCCCAAAAATGCAGCTGACTTTTCTTTTAAACTTTAGTGTTTAATAGGTAATATAATCACATGGTTTTGTTCAAAAGCTACAAAAGGTGGGAAAATGAGGTCTCCCTCCATCACCTCCCCTCCCGCTGCGTCTGCCCCTCGCACAGACGCAGCTCCTGTGCACGTCTCCTCCACCTCGCCGTTGTCCTAACCGTCATCTTTGACATCTTTCTACATTTTGTCTTAATACTCGTTGGCCACTAGCGCTACTTCATTCTTTTCGAAGCAGCGTAGCGTTCTGTAGCACCCACCTTTCTCACGTATGCTCACGGATGGACTTTGCTTTCTGAGTAACCCAGACTGCGCCTTTCACGCTGCCTTTTTGAGGCTTCTAGCTCAGCTCCCTCTGTTGCCCGGGAACTCAGCGAATGTCCTGTGGGGTAAAGCGCATCCAGAGATCCTCTAGCTTAGGCTCTGCCCTTCCAGCCCCACGTGACAGCCAGAAACACTCACGGTTTCTCTTCTCACCCTGTGCCTGGGCCCAGGATCCTCAGCAGGTGCCCTCAGGAAAGAGAATGGCCGGCACTGTCAGCTCACCCAGGGAGGTGCCTCCTTCTCTAGACTCTCAGTCCCTCTAGTTCCTGTCACTTGTACAGCTCTCTGTCTTGAGGAATGAATTTTGCAATGTATTTTGTTTTTTATTTTTTATGTTGTTTTTTGTAAAGATAGGGTCTCACTATGTTACCCAGCCTGGTGTTGAACTCTTGGCCTCAAGCAATCTTCTCCTCGGCCTCTCGAAGTGCTGGGATTACAGGCGTGAGCCACCAGTGTACCCAGCGTTGTATTTAGCTCTTTCCTGTTAGAAACTGCGTGCATGCTCGCCTGCCATGGCCCACCACGTCATGCCAGAGGCAGGGGGGCCTGTAGTGTTCGTCTCTGTGAGTAGTGAAGGAAGCCTCATGCACAGTCAGTCTTTGAAGGCCGACCTGTGTGCGAGGCAGGCGGCACCATCCCTCGCAGCAGTGGCAGCTGGACAGACAGAGGGAGCTCAGACCCACGCCTGTAGCCAGTCCCCTCATGACAGCCCCAGGCCTGGCTTCTGTATGGGTGGCCAGGACAGGTCAGACTTTTTCTGGGGCAGCCTGAGCAGGGCCACCCCAGAGCAGTACTGACAGATGTTTGGGGCCAGGTTTCCATCCGGCGTCCCAAAGTACACAACACGTCGCTGCTCTGCACCCCCCCTCCCACGGCCCCCACTGCCTGGGCACAGCAGCAGAGGGGAGGCTCCTGGGGTCTGCAGAGACCGAGCTCCACTTCCTGGTCTGCGGATGTTTGATCTTCACAGGAAGCCCACCAGGAAGCTCCCCACTCCAGGATCTAGAGAACTGTCTCAAAGAGATACCTGTGCCCGGGCCACAGCCTGCCTGGCCCTGCTCCTCGGCAGCAGAAGGGGGACTGAGGAGAACAGAGCCCAGGAACTGGACAGCAGACAAGGAAGGTAAGGCAGCGGCTGCCGTGGGGGACTGGGAATAGGACAGGGAGCTCCGGCGCTGCCACCAGCAGGCTCAGATCCTCACCTGAACCGCGGCTGTGCTCTGGAGACAGGCCTGGGCAGAGACTTGTAAGAGGCCAGGGAGTCTGTTCAGCACACATGAGACTTGCTGGCATCAGAGTGGTGGGTACAACCCAGGACAGGGACGCCTGAGTGCCACTGTCTGCTGGCCCACAGTCCAGGCCTAAGCCGGAGCCTTGTCAGCTGAGTGTCTTTATCCTGGCCATGTCGGCCCCTGCGTGCGTTGGCGTCTGGGTACCAGCCACTGAGCTGCAGGGCTCCCAGGGACCCGTAGGGGGAAGTAGAGAGCTCCTGGGAACATCTCAGGATGGGTGCTCCCACACATGAAGCTTGCGTGCCTGAGAGCCCAGCAGTGGCAGAAATTGTTCCCTGTCCCTTCTTCTGTGCTGGCATGAGGCCCTGCGGAGCTGACAGGCCTCTTGGCTTCTCATTAAAGCAGGACTGAGGGGTGAGCCCTGTGCGCCAGCCCGTCTCGGGCAGGGAGGGGGAGAAGTACCCTCCAGGAGCCTCCATCTGTCCAACCCAGAGGCGTTCACCTCCAGCTGTGTCTCCACCTGCCACCAGCGGGGGCTCAGAGACCCTGGGGCCACGAAGCCAGGAGCGTGGAGGTGCCTCCAAGACGGTGAGCTGACGTCTGCCCTCAGTGTCGCTGGGCCAGTTTCCGAACAGTCGAGGTGTCTGATGAGGAGCCAGATTCCCCTGCCTCTCTGTCCCACTCTTCCCGCCCTGTCCCATATCCCTTCCCCAAAAGACAGAACCTGGAGCCAGACACAGGCAGAGGTGTGCTAAAAAGGATGATGAAATGACACAAAGTTCTGACAAGGAGAGCGGCAGGAAGAACGCCGTTTATGTCCATCCATTGGTTTCTCCAGTGGAGATGCTTCCTGGGACAAAGGGGCCTCCCTCTGTCTCCTGCTACCACTTAGTTTAACTTCCGCAGAATTCCTTCCTGGGTCTGCTGCAGGGCTGGTAGGATGACTTTGCTGAGTAAATGTGGCTTTGCTAACCTCCCGCCAGGCGAGGACTGGCCCTGAGCCACCCTCTGCCCTTGGACTGCCGTGCCGCCTGCTGCTGGGTGGGAGAGGCTGCCTGGCCTTTAAGCCCTAAGGCCTGCCTGGAACCTGACTGCTAGTGGCTTCTAGGCACTCGGGACTTCCAGGAAGTTCCTCAGTTGACTTTCTGGAGTGGCTGGGGTCCTGGCCAGCCTCCAGCTTCCCTTCTCTCCACCCTCCATGACCGGAATGAACTGTCGAGGGTCCCCCAGAGCTCACGCTAGGTGTGGGCTGAGCTGAAAGGGGACCAGTTCTGTGACCCTGGTCACTGAGGCTGAGTCCTCCTGGCTGACTCGGGCTGAGGACGGAGGGCTCTCTTGTCACTTGCCCAGGGCCAGCTGCCAAGCCCTCCCCGCTGCACTGCCTGGAGAACTCCCTGAGGGGGATCTTGCCCACGAGGCCCTTGTACTTTGCCTGCTTGTCCGGCGCCAGCCCCAGCCCCAGTCCCGGCTCCAGCTCGAGCTTCAGCAGCTCCGAGGGAGAAGACCTGAGGCTGGAGCCTGTGCCCTGGCGGCCACTCCTCCAGGGTAAGCCTGTGGGTGGGAGGGATGATGGTGGGCTGCCTCCCAGGACGGGGCACCGCTCTGACACCAGCTTTGTGACACCAGAGCGGGACCACCCTCCCAGCTGCAAGTGTCCTGTCCCTCTGTCTCCGTGCCCTGGCGGATCCCCCACTAGCAGCAGCAGCAGCAGCCATGGTGACGACCCCAGGAGAACAGACCCTGGGGGCTGCAGCGGTCTCAGTGCAGGTGAGCAGGGGTCTCCTGAGAGGGTGTCTCCTGAGGGCCAGGAGTCTAAACTGGATCCCCTGAATCCCACCCATCACTTTGGCTCTCGCCAGAAAATCCTCTACATTTGCTGTGCTTCAGTTCCCGATGAGGTGAGCTGTGTCTGCGAGGGAGGTTGGGACTCTTGGGGGCCGGGGTCTGGGCTGGGGCCAGAGCTCCACGGAGCTGTGAGCGGTGTTTGCCCACAGCAGGGAAAGCAGGAGAGGGGACAGGCGGGAGAGGAGAGGGGCCCCTCAGCAGTGCAGACGAGGAGAGGGAGGCAGGGCAGGGCAGGGAGCACCCCCCTCCTGCCGCTGCTCCACTTGCAGGCCTTGGCCTTGCCCCGTGCAGGTCCTGGGCTGTACCATGTTGCTCAGTGCCCAGGGGGCCTGGTGGAAAACGGCAAGAGTGGGCTGGACATGGACCACAGGGCCACATCCTTGGAGGAGTCTTGCTGGAGCGGGACCCACAGATGGGAACCCTCTCCACCTCCCCTCGCCAGCTGTCGCCTCCTGACGGAGCCTGAGGCGTGATGCTGGAGCTGCAGAGGACTCAGGGGGTCCAGCGCACCCACACCCTGCAGACGGGGCAGGCGCACCACGCACGCACGCCACAGTGGGCCGTTCCAACAGAGTTGGGCTCTCTGACAGGCCAAGTGTGTCTGCCCTGCATCTCTTTTAATCATTGTTAAAAGTTGAAAGTTTGGGCCAGGCACAGTGGCTCACGCCTGTGATCCTAGCTCTGGGAGACCGAGGTGGGAGGATCAATTAAGGCCAGGAGTTCAAGACCAGCCTGAGCAAAAGCAAGATCCATCTCTACTAAAAATAGAAAAATTAGCTGGGTGTGGTGGCACATGCCTGTAGTCTCAGCTACTCAAGAGGCTGAGACAGGAGGATCACTTGTACCCAGGAGTTGGAGGTTGCAGTGAGCTATGATAACGCCACTGCACTCCAGCCTGGATGACAGAATGAGACTCTGTCTCAAAAAAAAAAAAAAAAGAAAGTTGAAAGTTTGATACTGTTTTAGGCTCCGTCAGAATATCCACATGTCAGCACGGCTCTGGCCATGCGATGGGTATCCCATCCTGAGCTCTTTGCTCTCTCTGCAGGGAGAGCTGGGGGTCCCTGTCCTGCCCCTCCGCTGGACAGAAGGCCTGGGCCCAGGGTTGGCGAAGCATCCCGGGGCCTGGAGCCTGGACACGGAAGACCCAGAGTTGCAGGTAAACTGGTGGCTTCCCCGTCCCCTCTGCAGGACAGCACCCGGGGGCCTAGCTTGAGGAGACATTCTTCCATGTTTATTATTTGGGTCATGAGTAGGAAAGTATCACCTTTAAGGCACTTCAGGTTGCATCTTTCATTTAGTGTTTTATTGCAGAAATAGCTGGGATTTTCATAAAAGCACACAGACACACGTTTTAGAGGCAGCAACTGAGAAGTGTTCCAGAATCCGTTTGTGTTTGAGGGGACTTTAGAGAGTAGATGAGGAAACCCCGGCTCAGTACTGTCAAGTGACCTGGCCAAGGTCTTCCAGAGAGGTTTAGTTCCACATCATACCTCTGCATCTGAGGACCTGCGGTGGAGTCATGCAGGAGGGTGTGGCACCCGGTGCCCTGGGTGCCTTGGGGACAGTCACATCAGGGACTTGACGACCTTTGGCCTGTGGTTGGGTTCCCTCGCTGGCATGGGCTGTTAAGCATCTGAGCTGGCCCGAGGGGAGTGAGCCTGGGCTCTTCCTCCCTGGAAGCCCAGGGCGGGATCTCCAGCCCTAGGCTTCGATCCTTGCCTAAAGAACTTGACGAGATAGCACTTGGGTCCTTTGGCCACTCCAGTCTTCACTTTTTCCTCTGCATGAAGCCCTGGAGGTGCTGAAAAGAGAAGGGCAGAGCCACGGCTGGGGGTTCAGAGGAGCCAGTCTCTGTGCCCAGCCCAGGGCTGAACAGGGCAGGAACGGCAAGTGCGTGGCCAAGGCTTTCTCATGAGCTTTGCCTGGGGCTGGGACCAGTTCCAAGGGAATTTAGGGTTGAGGATTAGGTGATTTTCTTAAAAGTAACTTAAGAGTTAAAATCCTACAAATCCGTCGCTTCTGAATAGAGAGAGTATGGGCAGGAGGGGCGGGAACCCTTGTGGTCTGCCCGTGCCCAAGAGCATGGAGTGCTGAAGTGGCCCCGAGGTCGCCCCATGAGAAATGCTCGCGAGGCCCTTGGCTGGACTGGTCCCCCTGGCCTGTCTCCAATGCTGCCATAGCCTTGGCCTCACACCGTCTGGGGTGGGGACTCTGGGCCCTTCTCCCTGACTGCTAGGACAGTGTCAGGTGCTCTGGGGTACCGTTAGGTCCCAATGGCTGCACAAAGAACCCACTGATTGTTTTCTTGGAAGATGGGAAGACCACGGTGTTAGGAAAGCTTGGTTACCGTGGAAACCCAGTCTATAGTGGATACTGCCCATCAGTTTGGGGAACAGCCAGGAGATGTGGCCGATTTTGATGTAATGAGCATTGCCATCAATATTCTCAAGCCTGAGTCACCTTCCTCACCTTGTAGAAGCCAGGCCTTAGAGGTCAGGATGCTGAACACCCTAGTTCAAGGGACCTCTGCGGGAGAGAAAGGTCCTTACAATCAAAGAACTCTCACCCAGCCCCTGCTCTGGTTTCAGCCAGGACCCATGGCAGGCTGCTCCCCGGGGGCCTGCCTGAGCTGCCCAGCGCGTCTCCGCCACCGGAGCTGCCCCCTCCAGCGGCCGCGTTTCCCGCTTTGCCAGCCATCGCCTCGCAGCTGCCGTGCTCCTGCGGGAAGCCGCTGCGGCAGGAGCTGCACAGCCTCGGTGCTGCCCTCGCAGAGAAGCTGGACCGGCTTGCCACGGCCTTGGCAGGCCTGGCTCAGGAAGTGGCCACCATGAGGACCCAGGTGAACCGGCTGGGGAGGCGCCCGCAAGGCCCTGGACCGAAGGGCCAGGCTTCCTGGCCATGGACCCTGCCCCGGGGGCCTCGCTGGGCTAACAGCCCTGGCCACAGACACCTGCCATACTGGAGACAGAAGGGCCCTGCCAGGCCTAAACCAAAGATCCTGCGGGGCCAGGCAGAAGGCTGCAGGGCCGGTAGCTCCCCCGCACTCTCCAGAGGGAGGGTCCGCCTGGTGCCTCTGCTGCCTCCAGAACTTTCTGGGCCCAACTGCAGCCCTTCCCAGCAGCCTCTCTCAGCACCCAGCTGCCAGGCTGTGCTGACTGTGCACCCTCCCCTCGGACACACCGTGGGCCACCAGAGCCCCCTACCCCGCTTAGTGCCTGCTGCCTTATCCTCCCAGACGGCCTCTCCTCCTGCAGCCAGCACAGACTCAGAGCTGCTGGCTGCAGGAGTAGCACCAGCCGGGATCCCGAACCGGCCCAAGGAGCCAAACAGCTTGCTGGCAGGAGTCCAGAGAGCCCTCCAGGAGGAACTCTGGGGTGGTGAACACAGGGACCCGAGGTGGGGGACTCATTAACTGCAGTCCTCATCTGCTCAGCCTTGGTGCAGGAGTGGCCTGCAGCCATGTCGCCCCAGCCCAGGCCGCCCTCTCCATCTGCTTCCTGGCCCTTCCCACTGCAGGGGGTCCACCCTTTGCCCTGCAGGAGGCCCCCAGGCAGTGTTCCCGTTCCTCAGCCACACTCTGGCATTTTTGGCTGGGGTTCAATCAAGCGTTGCTTCCCCCTCCCATCCTCCACTGGAGGCGCCGGGGCAGTGGTGTGCGCACCTGCGCGTGCATCCTGCGTGTGCATCCTGTGCGTGCATCCTGCACGTGCATCCTGTGCGTGCACAGTGCTCCATGCAGCCACAGATCAGCCTCGGGAGCCCTCTTCCTAACTACCTGCCATTCTGATCCCAGCGCTGCAAAGGCTGGTTTCTGTCTTCCCGGAGTAAATATTGGCAGGTTTCATTTGAGGAGATCTCTGCCCTCTGGTCTAAGCTGGATTTACCCATGTGGATTCTAAAATTAAAGAAGTGAGTTGCTAAGGAAAGTCCGTGGCTCCTCTTGGAAGGAGCTCGGTGGGGGCGCACGGTGGAACGGAGTCAGGCCAGCTCGCGTTGCCTCCCCGCCCAGACATCCTGGAGAAGATCCGACAATGTGGCCTTGAGGTTGTGGGGAGAAGACTGGGGAACAGGATTCCCAAAGGGCGCCCTGGGGAGGAGCCGCACACATTGCGTTAGCCTCCCAGGCTGCCTCACAAAGTGCCGCTGACTGGGCGGCTAAAGCAGCAGGCTGTTACCGTCCCTCAGTTCTGGAGGCCCAAAGTCCAAGTGCCGTCCGAGTTGTTTCCTTCTGCCAGCTGTGAGGGGGGTCTGTCCCAGGCCTGTCTCCCTGGCTGAAAATGGCTGTCTTCATGTTCACACGGCATCTGCGCACTTGTCTCCAAATTTCCCCTTTGTGTCAGGACACCAGTCTTGTTGGAATATGGCCCACCCTGTTGAGTTCACTTTAAATTGATTCCCTCTGAAAAGACCCCCTCTCCAAGAAAGGTCTCATTCTGAGGTCCTGGGGGTTAGGACGTGCGTGACATATAAATTTGGAGAGGGGCACAGTGCAGCCTGTAGCACACGTAAGGGCTGGGCCAGTCTTCCTGGCTTTGTCTTGGGAGATGGCATGACCAGGTGTCGCCAGGCCCACTTCTGTCCTGCTAACTGGAAGGTGCCTCCTCCCAGCCCCAGCTGATGCTGGGCCGTGTGCTGGAACCAGCACGTCTGCCGTTCACTCGCCGCAAGTCCTCCCTCGGGCGCAGCCAGCCTGGTGTTCCCACCCAAGTCCCTTATTTAATTTGAGGAGTGCACACATTGCCTGGGAAGGACTGGCCCTGCCCTCGGGGCCCTGGGGAGCCTGGGATGGCAGTGCTGCGGCCCAGCGGGTCCCTAAAATCAGGGTCATGAGCCACACATGGGGCCTGAGTACCCCTCAGCTGAGCAAAGGACAGGTGGCCTTGCCTGGGGGCTCGGGGAACTGAACACCGCCTGTCCCTTGCTGCCCCCATGGAAGGAGCAGGCTGCTGACACAACAGAGGGGAGGGGGCCAGGGACAGACTGTCACGAAAGGGGCATTAAGATGTGCTCAGCACCAGAATAAGGCCCAGGATGGCTGTCTGGAAACTAATACTCATAGGATCCCGCAAGTAGGATGTTGTTTAAAATAAGCAGGCTCTTCATTCCGCCGTGCTTGTCACTGAAGAACAGAAAAGTTCTAGGCTCTCCCCTCCTCAAGAACTCAGAAAGATGAGTCCAGTGGGGAGCAATGCTGGGCACATTTCAGAGCCAAGAGAAAGGGGTGGGACACAGGCTTGCAGAGGAAGTTAAGGAGAGAACCCGCCCACCCTGTGTGCTGGCCCTGGCCTGCCCGCCCTGCCTTGGCGCTCCCTGCTCCCATCCTGCCTGGCTGGCCTCCTGTTCTCTCTCCTTTTGCTTCTCAGCAGGGGAAGGTGGTGCCAGCTCAGGGGGAAGCAGGCCACGCGATGCCTTGTGTGGCACGCTCAGGTGGTTCTGCTTTGTTGGCTTTACAAACAGCCGTCACGCAAACCCTGTGCAGCAGGAACAAGTGAGCCGGCAGCCCTAAGTAACTCGCTCACGGTTGCTTTGAATTGGCAGAGCCAGGAAGAGACCTGGGCTCCTCGTCACATCCTCTCTTCCCCTGGACACAGCTACTCCCAGCCTTTGCCCACTGTGACAGACGAGGACATTCAGGACTGAGCCTGGTCTAGTTGGTCTAGATGCAACTGGACTGCATAAGACGTTCAAAACATTTTTAGGAATGTGGAATATAATAAAATGAATGGTGAGAAGTTACGTGGTCTGCAGCTGCGTGCCTCCGGCAGAAGAAGGTCCCTAGGCCTCTAGGGCCTGTCCACAGCCACAGTTGTTTACTGAAAAGCCTTCTAGAATCAATGGTCTGGTGAAGAATCTATATGCAGTTTCAGCCTTTGGTATTGCGTCCATCTCCAACTACTGTACAGGGTCGTTTTGAAGGGGAAATGTGGTCACTTTGATGGGAGAAACCAGAAGACCTTTTTGAACTCAAGGGAGTTCTAGGGGTTGGAGTGGGGGACAGAGAAGGCTCTGGGCCTGCCCACCACCATCCTGGACACTCCTGGCTGGCCTGGGTGTGATTTTCCCTGTCCGCCAGCAGAGTCCCCAAGAGCAGAAAGTGTGAAGGTCCCACTTCAGAATATGAAAAGGCCTGTCATCTCCAGGCCACCCCAGGGGTTTGGTGGTCGGAGGCCGGGAATGGGAGTGAGTGCAGGGCTACGGTTCACTGCTCCCTCTGAAGGGACTTGGCACGCTGGTAAACCAGCCTGCCCGTGACCTTCTTATGTCTCTGTATTTTAGACGTGGCTCCTAATACAAAACCCACAATTGGATTTTATTTTATAATCCATTGTGGCAAATTTTGTTCTTTATTTGGAGTCCTTTATCCATTTAAATGTAATATAATTACTGATATACTTAGCTTGAACATACTATTATGTGCTTTACGTTTGTCCTACCTGTTCTGAGGGGTTTTTTCTTCTTTTCTGCCTTATTTCGTATTGACAATGTTGTGGGTTTTTTTTTTTAATCATTACATTTTCATCCCTGCTAGAATCAAAATTTTCAAATTTGGGAGATGTAAGCATATCTTTCTCAGAAATTGATAGAACAAAGCAAGAAGAATATAAAAGATTTGAATACGCCAGTGAACAAAATTGGCCTGATTGCTGAGTGTACGGAATGCTGCCCCATCGGACTACTGGATATACATACGTCCTTCCCGAGCGTGCACAGAACATTTGCATTTACTATATACTAAGCCCCAGAGCAAGTTTAAATAAATTTAAAACATTGGAATTATGTGGAGTACATTCTCTGACCATACTTTACCTTTTAAGCTAGAATTAAAAATAACCAGAAATTTTTATATCAAAAATGAGAATTATGATGCTAAAATAACCCATTTGCCAATGAAGAAATTATAATGGAAATTAGGAATATTTTGAACTGTAAGAAAGTACACATATCAAAACTTGTAGGATAATGCTAAATCAGTACTTGGAAATGTATAGGCATAAATGAGTACGTGAAAAAAGAAAAAAAGACTAAGAATTCACAAGGAGGTTCAAATAGAACGGCAAAGGGAATCTAAAGAGAAGAAAAAGGACATGTGAAGATGAGAGCGGAAATCACTGCAACAACATACATGCAAAAAAGTCAACAAAGCCAAAAGTTGTTTCTTTAACAAAACTAATAAAATTGACTGGCTTATGGTGACATTCACCAATGAGAAAAGAAAGCACAAATAACTAGTCTCAGGAATGAAAAAGGTGACATTACTACAGATGCTGCAGGCTATAGGAAGATAAGGTGATACTATTAGCAACTTTTTGCCAAAAATTTGAAAATTGAACGTAAGTATAGTCTCAATGTGAGACTCTGTCTCAAAAAAAAAAATAAGAGTTAAGAAGAAATATTAATAGAAAACCTGAATTATTGTGTATCATTTAAAAAAATTGCATCAATGATCAAATACCTTCCCACAAAAGAAACTATAGGCTCAGAAGACCTCACTGGTAAATTCTACCTTATATTTTAAGAAGAAATTATTTCAATAATACACGAACTATTGCAGAGAACAGAAGAATATGGAACACTCTTTGACTCATTTTATGAGATTAACATCACCTTGAAACCAAACTAGAGGGCAGTACAAGAGAAGAAAATCACAGGCTAATCTCAAAACATGTATTAATACATAAAAGCAAAAATGCTCAACAAAATATGAGCAGACAATCCAGCAATATATAAAAAGAGTAAAACATCATGACCAAGCTGGGTTTATCTTTGAGATTCAAGAATGGTTTTAACATTTGAAAATCACCAGTGGTAACCGGCCACAGTGATAGGTTAAAGGGGGAGAATCATGTGATCATCTGTCACTACGGAAGGATCATTTGGTAAGAGCCAATATTCATAAATATTCCAGGTAAACTAGGTTGGGAGAGGAAATTTCTTACTTGGTAAAGATTATCTACTGAAGAAAAGGAAAGAAAAGAAAAGCTTATGGCCAATACCATATTTAATGGTGACAGATTGAAATGTTTCCTCAGAAGAGGACAAAGAAAAGCAGGCTGGCTCTCACACTGTTATCTAGCCAGGCAAGGCAGGAAAAAAATATAAGAAACGAGGATGCTAAAAGAAGGGATGAAAGAGTCGTTACTCCATGATGTGACTCTTACAGAGAAAAGTGAGAGGAATCTGTAGATAAACTATAAAACATGAGCGTTGATGAGGTAACTGGTTAAAAACCAATATGCTAAAATTAAGTTGTGTATACCAACAACCAGCAGTTAGAAAATCAAAATTAATTAAAAATTTTGATTGATAGTAACAAATACTCAAGAATCTAGGGATAAATCCACAGAAGGTGTGTGCAGAGAAAACTATTGAGCACCTTTTATGATTGCCTTCATTCCTTAACCCTCATCGCAG